CAAAATAAAAGGATTCAAATGTATCCATGGCAACAAAGTTTTAGGCAACAATGAACCCAAGACTGGAGATGTGGTGTCCGTGATAAAACTTGAATGGCTGTGAGATCCTGTACCAAATACATAAAAGAAAAAAAGAACTTTGAATGGCTAAGAGAAATCATTATATATGTATGTATTCTAGTCCCCAGTACAGACTTACTTGTCTAGTTTCATATCTTAGATTGCTTTGAAATTTCAAGTGGTATAAGTAAAATCAAAAGTATAAATAATATGAGGGCATGTTTCACATCACTTATATTTAAAGTATTCCAACCCAGGGGCCGGGGAAATGGCTAAGTAGAATAAGCAAGTGCCTGGCAAGCATAAGGGTTTGAGTTCAAGCCCCGGTTCCACAAAAAAAAAGAAAAACAAAGAAAAGAAAGAAAGAAAAAAATCCAACCCATATGCTCACAAGCAGGGTAAGCTTTAGGTTAAATTGTACAAAATCATATATAGTTTTCATTTTAGACCACACAAAACTTAAACAATAAACAGGCAATACTCTCAAATACACTATGTTTAAGCACATCTAACCAAAAGACACAGTCATCTTTAGCTGGTGGGCAAAACACCAAGGTAAGCTTGGTAGGACTATACGCTTCCAGAAAAGCAACACACCTAAGTCTTAGCTGAGCTTAAGTGAATAGTTCTGATTTGCTTTCCTTTGGACCATGGATTAGAAGAATGCTTTTATTTAAAAGAAGCATATTTAAAAAGCCCAAGAGGTGAGTGTTCTCCTCACTTACCTATAAAGTAAGGCTCTATTTCTAGCCTCTTCTAATAGTCATGGGGCAAATGGCTGTCAGCCTGTGACAACCTCTTACTGGTTAATTCAAGATCCTATAATGAATATCAGGTGTAAACCAAAACAGAGAAAGTGATCAGTAAACACGTTTGGAGTCCTGTGCTGCCAAAAACAAACAGAAGTGAGAATAGAAAAGGCCGTAAGTGCCCTGGCCCATGACAGCCAAGGATTGTTCCCTGTAATGTTATGATGAGCTAGGGTTGTGACTAGCATATAAAGGTAAGCTGAAGTATCTTCACAGAGACTTAGGAACATGTGGTTTCTGACCAGAAGAACAGGAAACAGAAGCAGGGCAACACTCCTAACTGCGTTATCTTTGTGCTGTGGGTGACATGTGCTGGAGACCAGAGCTGGATTTTGATTCAAGTGAAATCTTCCATAAATGGTATCTAAGCACAGGCTACATAATCCAACAACTCCCCCAGTGAAATTCCTATTATGTACATGGAAGAGGGAATGCAGCAAGTCCCATTTGGCTGGACAGAGAACATGCTCTGTGGAGTAAAACTGTGGCTCTTGTGTTTAGTGCCAAGTGCAAGTTCGTACTAGACCAAGGCCCTAAACATGAAGGAGTTAAGTGTTCTCAAAAATGAACCAGATGCAGTAAGCAGTGTTCATAGTTCACTGTCTCTAAAACATCAAAACCACAAGGCAAGAACTAGTCATGCTATCATTCTTGCAATGGCTTTAGCTAGTGAAGGGCTGATGTTACGGTGATGGTTACTCAGCGTTACCACAGCAAAGTGGAGTGGCATTATCTTTTTCCATTCACCTCCTACTGATACAGAAGTTAAAACCAAGAACTGACCGAGTACGTCACCAGTGATGGTTGTTCTGTGGGGCTGACAGTCTTGGGGAAACCTTTGAACTTGAAAGCAAGAATACTACAAAATTAGAGCAGGAACCAAAGGCACACGGGTAAGGTGACTCAGCCCAAATGTCACTCAAACAGGTCTTCTTGGACAAACTTAAAGTTCTGTTCAGTTGCTCCCTGAATTAATGTGGCTTAATAAAGCCATTAGAAGTTGAAAGTAGACGTCAAAAATATAGTTAAAACACCTAAGCTACTAAGCATCCTAGCTTAGCCTAGTCCCCCTTAAATGATTGCACATGTGCACAGTGGGACACAATCATTAAACATAAACACCTTTTTTTTTTTTTAAATCTTTTGAGGCAAGGTCTCACTATGCAGTTTGGGATAGCCTTGAGCTCACTTTGTATTCCAAGCTGGTCTACAACGGGGATCCTCCTGCCTCAGCCTCCTGAATGCTAGGATTACAGGCATGTGCCACCACGCCTGGCCTAAACTCTGTTTTATAATCAGGTGTTGGGTGTCTCATTTCCACACAGAAAGAAGCATCGTGTAAACATCCCAGGATGTAAAAATCACAAAATATAGTATCTAATAAAAACTGTGGCAACACAACAAACTGCAAAGTATTGGTTGTTCATTCGCATGATCATGCAGCTGGCTGCCCTGTCCAGCATGGAAAGAGACTATTACAGCACTGGCCTAGATGTGTATTACTTCTGCACTATTATAAATTAGAAAATCTTAAGTTGAACCATTGCCAAGTTGATACTGTCTCTTTTTTAATGCACAAAGATCATTTATATTCATAAGGTATTTGAATACTACATGTCCAGTGAAAGCCCTGAGAACACATATGTCATGGCTGATATATTGCGACAACCTGAAAAGCTCAGAAACTTAACTAATGAGCTCAGCAGTTCTACACCCTAGGAGTAGAGGACTTGCCCTTACTGCTCTAGGATGCTGTTCATTGCGTCAACTTGAGAAATTTAGAAGTTTAACTAGGTGACCCAGCAGGTGGCCAAGGGCCTTCACTTTGTAAACATCTTCAACCTGTGCAAGAAGAGGACACTGCAATGGTGGGCAGCCTGCATACAATATAAAGGAGGAAAAGAGGATTGCTCGCTCTCTCTCTCTCTCTCTCTCTCTCTCTCTCTTTTCTTTTTAGTACAGGGTCTACAGGATCTCACTGCATAGATCGGACTAGTAGTGATCCGCCTGTTTTCAGCCTCCTAGGCCCTGGGATTACAGGCAAGTGCCACCACTCCCAGTCTCAGTAACTGTCTCAGCTCGTCCCATGGGTGGGGCTGGCATGGCTTATGATGCCAGGTATCAAATCCCAGCCCCTGCCCTTTCCCTAATCAGGAACTTTAGTACACTGAGCTATCTGCCTTTTTGCTCTTCTTGCTTTAGCTGTCTTCCGCTGCCTTGAACTGCTGCCCCCTGCCGTGCCATCCTGCTTTGGAGCCAGGTGATTATTGAATGCAAATTCTACAAACCAGGAGCTAAATAGACTTCCTTTCTTATCTTTGGCTATTTTGTCCCAGCAACAAGAGAAAATTAAGACAACACATATGGTCATACTCAACATTCTTTAATTGGTGCAAGAAAATGAATGTGTATATGAAGAACCAGATGTTCTGAAGAATGTGCTATACATTTCCATGAAAAATGACATCAGTTATACTCAAGATCTGACCTAGTCTCTGGGTCGACACTTCATCATTTTCCATTTCTCCAACACTACCTCTCACAGTAACACAGTTCTTGAAGCTTAAAAAATACCAACCTGCTGTCATTAACTTAAAATTGTGTACCTCTTTCTTCACTTGCCAGCCACTCTTTAATGCATTATCTGTAATACTTATAAAATTAGAAAATTTGAGGTATTTTTATCCCTCCTTTCTGTTTGAATTTAGAATCCCAGAGACAGGAAGTTTGATGTTTCCTGACTTTGCCCCAGAAATTCTTACGAAGGTTGGCAGAGAATAAGCCCTCAGTGGTTATTCACAGACTGCTTTTCCAACTGCCAAAGAACACAGAGATCAGTTATCTATAACTGGTATTTTTTATGGAGCCCAGAAAATCCAGCATTCACTTCGAAATGTCAAAAACACCACATACTGAAAAGACTTTTAGTCTTTTATTGCAGATATAATAGGAATTAAATTGGCAAAGTGGTCTGAAGCAACACCAGTCCTGGGGCAGGGGTGGGAGCACAGGCCAGAAGCTTCTGCATTACTTAGCAGTTTTCTAGAAAAGCACAATCTGAGGCCACCCCAGACCCGGGGAGCAGAATGCCTGACGATGAAGCCCAAGCATCTGCTTAGTAATTAAGCTATGTCAGTGACTCAGCAACCTCCACTTATCAAACTACAGTTTTGCTAAGTGTCCCCCACGAGCCTGTATGTTCAGGGTTTGGTCCCAGCTGGATGGCTCGGATCTGCTGGGAGGTGGTCGTGGCTGTTGGAGTGAGCCGCATCTAGGTGACGAGGGACTCACCACTCGTTCTCTTTTGCTCCCAGGCGAAAGCCGAGCTGCTTTGCTCCCACTCCTGCCAACTTGTGTGCCTTGTCACCAGCCCAAAAGCAATGGCAACAAGAAAACATACAGTGAAACCTCCAAAACTGTGACTCTTTAAAATGAGCCTTTTCTCCCTGCCAGTTGATTATTGCAGGCACTTGTGGCACAGTGATGGAAGGCTAGCGCAACTGCCAGTTGGGAAATAAACATTAAATTACAACGAGTTATCCCATTCATCTTAAACGACTGCCATTCAGAACTGAAGGTGAAGGGCTGGGGAGACAGTTCAGCAGTCTAAGCGCCTGCATGACAAAAGCAGGGGCCAGCGTTTGATCCTCAGTACCGCATGCCAGTGTTGACCCAGGCAGGCCACCAAGACCAGGAGTGGTGGTGCACACCTGTAATCCCAGCACTGGGGAGGCTGAGACAGGAGGATCACTATGAGTCTGAGCTGCATAGTGAGATCCTGTATCAAATAAATACATAAATAAATAAATTAATACATGTGAAAATAAATAAGAAATGTTATATTTGGATACTTTCAAAAAAAAAAAAACTGGTACATTCTTGCTGGAATTTAGATTAAAAACATCAGGGATGAACAAGGAAAAAGAGAAATCACATGCAAAATGATAATGTAAATAAGGACGGATTAGTCTTGAACACACCCACACCTGCTCATTTGCGGTTTCCCTGAGATGTCCCAAACCTCAATGAACTCTTGATTCACTCAGTTTTGCTCCCCTTCCCTGGGCAGCAGCTCTAAGAATCAGAACAGCAGATGACTGATGGAGACCACTCAGAAAACCCGTGCCCTACCGTGATTCAGGTGCCTGATGCAGTCACTCAGGAGCGTGCTGAACCTCTTCTGGTCAGCAGCCTCGTGGAAGCAGAAGTAGCCATGTCTCAGGAAGGGCTGCCATAGGTACACCGGGAATGCCTTTGGCAGGACCACAAAGGGCTGAGAATTTTCTTTCTCACTGGCGGCTGAGGAAATCGGGGAAACACTAATCATTTCAAAACATCTGTCTTTTCTTTCAAATATTGTACTTATTTGCAGCTGACTGTGAGGGTGCCCAGGGCAGGCCAAGGTGCACATATGTTAGAGAAAAGGGCAATTCAGGCCCCTCTGCACCCCTCCCACCAGCCCCTCAGACTCTTTCCCTCCTCATTCTCCATAAGGACAGTGACAGCCATCTGACACAAGCCTTCTCAATGCCCCCACACAGAGCCCCCTGTACTGCTGGTCTTGCCTGCCTGCACACTTGCTACTCTCTCTGCAGGACCCAGCTTCCAGTCTCCTCCCACCTCTCCCACTGCTGTCTGCATCTTCTTGCCCCACCAGCTCCTGAATCCGACAGCTGAGGTCACTCTCACTTCCTGACTGCAGGCCCAGGGCTTCTCCTTTATTACTGCACATCAGATCTGATCTGCAACATCTGTTGCCGCTGGTGACCCCTTGTTTTGAAAACTTCCCCACCTCTGACTTCCAGGAATGCCTCTCACCTTGTTTCCCTCATGCTTTAAAAACCTGGTTTCTTTTATTTCCACTTACTGCTTCCTCGGCTGCCTCTCTGTTAAATGCTGGTGGTTTCCCTGTTCTGCACTGCCTTCCCCTCCACTCTCAACCTAAACCATCTCATGGAATGGCCCTATCATCCCGTAACTTTTTATGTACTACCTGCAGGCTGTTTCATCCTTCCTCCCTTCTTTTCCATCATACTTTCCCTAGAAAATTCCTTTTCATCCCTCAAAAGGGAGTTCAGAAGAAACCTCCTCTGCACGTATTTCCTGCCAGCAGAGAGCATTGGGTACTCCCGACACGGCTCCCCTGAAATACTGGCACCCAAGCCTGGGTGAGGATATGAGCATGGAGACTGCGACGAGCTCCCTCACTGACTCTCACGGGTCCCGTCCCCGGAAGCAGAACCACAGTCCTGGACTGTGAGCTCCTAGAGCTGCATCTCACCTGTCCTCCTACCCTCTCTGCTGCCCATAGCACAGTCACGGAAGCTAGGAGACTTTCACCTGCAGCATGTTGAGGGAATAGCTGTGAGAAGCCGAAAATCTCAGAAACTCTAAAAACATGAGACTTTGGGGATAGGGAGGGGAGGCACCTCACATGTATGAGACGCTGGGTTCCAACCCCAGGGTCTCGCTCCCCCTGGGAGAGAGGGAGAGAGCAAAAAGGGGAGAGGAAAAGAGAGGGGAAGAGAGAGGAGGGGAGGGGAGAAGAGGAGAAAGAGACAGAGATTCTTCCCTCAAAATCAACCCCAAGAAAACTACGTTAAGTCACATTACTAGTCAGAACCCTGACCTCAACATTATTCCTTTCACGCATTCCTGTGACATGACATTGTACTTGGTTAAAAATACCAGCTTCTTTCCAGAGTCGCAAAGAACACGCAGCCATTCCCTACAGAATGGCTGGGAAAAGGAGGACAGCAGGGCTGCTAAGAGGTCAGTGAAGGCACCGGCATACAAAGCAATGGATCATAGCCATCCGGGACTCCAGGACTCAGTCAGCTACATATGCAAAGAGGGGAGGGGAGGGCAATGTGAAAAGCAATTAAGATGTGTTCCCTGCATGTACCAACTCCACACTAGAAAGGCAAACTTTATGTACTGTAAATATGTACTAAAAATAGCTTTTGGGAAGGCGAAGACAGGAGCCCTGCTCCACCATCCTGGAATCCATAAGTCACTGAGAGGAACATTCTGGGAGCACAAAGTGGGGCCCCCAGTGCCCAGCACATCACAGCCAAAAGGAACAAAGAACTAAATGGTTGGGTGCTTTAGAGACCTCTAGTTAACACTGTATCTATTCTCCCCTTCTTCCTCAATAATAAAAGCCATGATTTTTACTTGGCCAAGTGACAGCACAGAGATTGTACACCCATTTACAGTCTCCTTTATAGTTCTGTAGCCCACAACTACTAAGTTCTGACCAAAGGGAAGCAAACCCAAGTGGCATATGAAAACTACTGGAGATATCCACAAAGATACCTTTTCTCCTTCCATCTGAAATGACAAAGCTATATAGCTGGATTCTGGTAAGAACCACAACCTGGAACAGAGACGGTGAAAACTAAAAGATGCCAACTCTGACAAATTTATGGATCTGCCACACCAGTTGTGGAAAAATACGAAATATTTGTGTGAGATAATAAGAACTTTTTATTTAACTGGAATTTTTTTGCTAGGGTACAGCAAATCTGTGTAACTAATACAATGCCAAACAAATGAAGAACTTTAGCAAACAGGGGCACCCTTGATACAATACCTTACGATAACACTACAAAAAACACATACTTATCCATAAACTTCTAGTGCCTTCTCTCAAACAAGGTTAATTCCTCCCCATTTTATGAGCCTAAATTTCTTTTTCCCAGTAGAAACAGCAACACATGAGTGCTCTTGACTACCATGTTTTTGTGCAACAGTTCTAGATGTCATTTCCAAGATTTCATAGTTTTGTACAAACAATTGAAAGCAACATTGACATATTGCATTTAAAAGCTTCGGCAAGGCTGGAGAGATAGCTCAGTGGTCCAAGCATCTGCCTGGCAAGCTCAAGATCCTGTGTTCGATCCCCATTACCACATGCTTCTCTGGCCACCAAAACTGGGCATGGTGGCACACGTCTATGATCCTAGTGGTGGGGAGGGTGAGACAAGAAGATTACTATGAGTCTGAGCTGCGTAGCAAGACCTTATACCAAATAAAGACAGAAGGAAAGAAAAAAGAAAGAAAGAAAGCTTCGTCAAGACCCATAAAATTCAGTATTACCCACTATTTATCTCTCCCTTGACCTTTTGCAACAATTTTCCAGATGCCATTAGTCTGCATATTTTCTGAATTGAGTTACTAAGGCATCACAAATGATCTACTGTAGAATATTCTATTTTTACAATTGAGAAGGCCACACCACACAATAAAAATAGTCATTGAAATGCCCCAATCTGAAGGCCTGGGCTAACTGGCATTAGTCACACAGTTAAAATTTCTCTTCATTCCTCTGGTATGATTTCATCAATAAATCAATAAAGTTATTATTGTCCGTTCTCATAGATTTTGTTGGAAATTCCTGGGGAGACTCTTGAGTCAACACGTTGGTGACCTCAACTTCAGGATGCAATTCCTAGCCAAGATAGTACAAATACAGGCTGCCAGAAAATAGAAAAGGTACTAATATGAATAGTGCCCATAAAGCGTTGTTTTATGTATTTATTTTGTATTTTAGGAGTCTATAGGGTGTTCAGGGTCTCACTACCAGATTAGACTCATAGCGATCCGCCTGTCTACAGCCTCCCAAGAGGTGAGATTATAGGCGCGTGCCACCATACCCAGTCTCAACTGTTAGCTCAGTGCGGGGCGGGGCCATGGGGCGCAGCAGGGCCAGCACAGCAAGCCTGGGGATTGATCCACAGCCCCTGCACCTACTTGAGGCGCTTTAATCCACTGAGTTAATTGGCTGGCCCAAAGTGTTGTTTTAGCCTGAATAATATAGTAATAATTTCATTTAGGCATACACTAACTATTATTATTAAAAACACCATACTAAATATTCTGCACCAAGGGACAACCTATTCATCCCCCCCCCACTCCTGTCTCTCTCTCAGACAAGAGCTTTCTTTCCCTCAATAAATATATTTTGCAAATAAATAAATATTCTGTACCCCCCCAAAAAAAGATTGGTGAAATGATTATATTTTCCCCATAAATCCTAATGAAATGATAGTTCCCATTAATAAGGACCAGGACACTCTTCAAAAAACCAAGTATAAAATTACTTAAAAAGAAAGTAATGGGCTGGTGAGATGGCTCAGTGGTCTAAAGCACCTATTTAGAACAAGCTTAGCAAAGCACAGGGACCGCGGTTCAATCCCCCAGCACCACACGCCAGCCAGCCCCGCCCCCTGTGGGCTGAGCTGGCCACACACACATAATTAAAAAAAAAAAAAAAGAAAGTAATTACTGTGTGGTACAATTTACACAAAGCCAGAAGTGGTTATTACTTTATCCACAGTTCTTGAATTTCTATGAGCTGCCTATGTAGTCTACACATTATCTATCCTTTTCTCTATATTTTGAAAAGTGGAGCTAAAGAGAATCAAAGGATAGTTGAGCTGGAAAGTTACTTCTAGACTTTCACGTTCAAAGCCCCACTTTAGAATTGGAGAGATAAACTAGAGAGGTTCAGCACCTTACTAGTATAAAACATTCAGTAAGTAGCAGAGCTAGAATCAGATAAAATCCAGTCTCCCAACTCTTGGTCCAATGCTCTTCTAAGGCAGGATTCAGGTTTATGTATAAATAGAATAATTACTACAGTGATTCTATACAGTAACTCAGTTACTGTAATATTGATTTTGTCACTGTAGGATATTTGATTGAATATCAACCTTAAAATTAGAATAACAAAAATAAAAATTCATGACAGATCCAGTCTGTTTACTAAAAAATTACATCATATATTTCATAGATTGAGCCCTGCTGGTTTATTTCTACTGCTCCTTAATGGTGCTATCAACGTCTGCAATATATTCCAAAAGCTTCCAGATACTCGACCAATAGCAAATTTTTCATGTGCTAGAAACATAGTAACTGACTTGGGAAAGGCATGTGAAATAACAAGATAAGTGTCACCATGTTCACCTAAGTCAGTGAAATCTCATTTACCATTTTTCTATGAATCACAATTTTCATAACCTTGCTATTACTAATATTTTTTAGTTGATTTCCTCTGAGAAACTCCAATGTGAGTCCTCCTCTATTCAGCCATGTCGAATCTCTGGTGTTACCAACGTTTTACACCAGGCAGCTCTTCATTGCTGTAGAATGTTTAGCAGCATCCCTGAACTCTACAGTGGCCACCTTCTGATTATGATGAGCAATAACATCTCCAAATACCGTCAAATGTGCCCGGAAGTTGAAATGTCCCTCCCAACTCATTGAGAACCGCTGGTCTATTTAAATCAGACAGTTTCAAAATGACAGTTTTTGGAAAAGGGTGGTATGCAGGGCTGCAGTCGTAGCTCAGCAGCATAAATGCTTGCCTGGCAAATGCAAGGTCCTGAGTTTGATCCCCTGTACCAAAGAAAAAGAAAAAAGAAAAAAAGGTGCTCAGCAACTCACCAATGGGATCTGGGAAATGTTTATCAGACAACACATTATATTCATCTTCTGAGGTTAACACCTTGCCACCAGCTGGAAGAATTCGGCTTTTAGGAGCAGCTCCTTTTTGATAGGCCTGGAAGAAAATACATAAATAAAAATGGTCTTTATTTGGATTTTTGTAAAACATCAGAAAGATTAAAAGCATCTACACAGACTCAAATACATATACGCAGAGGCAGCAATCTCTACCCTACGTCACTGTGCTAAAAGTCATTTATTCAAAAAATAAGTTTTGTACGAATGCTACTTGCAACATATCTAGTACTTTTGGGTGACAACTCAGAGTCCTTGACCTGAGAGAGATTTCTCTGTAGGCGTGTTCTCAAGTGGGGAATCTCAGTAACATCTAGATAGTCTGTAGCGTATTTTCATTTTTCAGGCCCCAACGCCCTAGTCATTCTGATAACCACAAGGGTGATCATCACAGAAAGCGGGCACAAAATGCTTGGTGCCTGATGTGGAACAGGTATGATGACTAAAGATGCTACAGAATGTGCGACTGTGATGCTGGTTGTCATGGATTTCCATCAAAAACACGAACATGTTACCATGATAAAAATATACCACTACTTGCCCTCAGACATAACTGCTTTGCAGTAAAATGACTGGGAGGGAAGTACAGTTTTGTGACATCAGTACAAATTCTGGCCTGCAGACAAGAAGCTCTGCTGGGAAACTTACATGAGGCACAGAGCTCTGCTGAAGCCACTGTGTAGACCCCAACCCCACCAGGACCACAGGAAAGATACAGTATGTGCATCTGATGGGAAGGCTTAAGTATGGACAAAATTTTTAAGCTAGTAATCTAAGGGCAAACTGACAAGCAACTGTGGGATGCAAAATCCTGAGGGTACTCTCGGGAGTAACTAAAATAACACTGATCTAGGAGCCAAATGTAGACCATAGGTAACAGTCTGCATTAGTAAGACAGTAACTGAAGAGACCCAAAGAAATCACTCGCCAATAGCCAAGAAGCTTGTTTTCACACTTGCAAGAAGCACCAGTCAAATTTTGAACATATCAGCGACCCAGAATTGAACAGGGAAGAACCTAAATTTGTGTGATTTTGAGAAAGTTCAGGGGCAATTTGATCAGACTAGTCTCAAACGTGAATTGTTATTAGATATAAGGCTCAACATAGGCTTTTATATACATGATACCACTTAATCTTCAAAACAGCACTATATACTCGGTATTGTCTGCATTTTACAAGTGAGAAAAATGAAGCTTCAAGAGGCTGAGTAAGTTCCCAATTGCCTGTCAGGGAGTAGGTGACAAATCAGGATTCATACTCATGTGTGTCTAGCCAGGAAGCAGGAACTGATTAGCGAAAGAGAAAACTTCAATGTTCCTGCTTAATTACCAGCAGAATTAGACTCTCGGCAGGATAATAGGCAATTTATGAGTCCTTCATGTGTAAATCTTAGGTGTAATTTTTTTAATATTTCTATAAATTAAAAAAACAGGTTTTAGGGTCCTGGGAGATGGCTCAGTGGAATAAGTGCTTCCCTGGCAAGGGCAAGGGCCTGAGTTCAATCCCCGGTTCCACCAAAAAAAAAAAAAAAAAAAAAAAAGGGTGGGGGGGCTGGCGAGATGGCTCAGTGGTCTAAAGCACCTACTTGGAACAAGCTTGGCAAAGCACAGGGACCACGGTTCAATCCCCCAGCACCACATGCCAGCCAGCCGCGCCCCCTGGTGGGCTGAGCTGGCCACAGACACAATAAATAAATAAATAAATGTTTAAAAAACATTATTAAAAAAAATTAAAAAAAAAAAACACGTTTTTATTAAAGCTAAGCAATTGTGACAAGGCACATGACTTTCCCTTGAAATATCCAAGGGAGTTTTGAAAACTATTTGGCTATTATTTAATTCAGTCATCATTTTTTAATAACTTAAGTTGTTGAAAGTAATGAGCAAAGGAAGAAAGTGAATGAAACATAAGTTTCAAGTTTTCTTGTTGTTGTTGTTTATGTATTTGGTACAAGGTCTCACTACGCAGCTTGGACTCGTAGTGATTCTCCTGTTTCAGCCTCCCAGGTGTGTGCCACCTTGCCTGGACTGGGTGACCAGCTCAGCATGCCTCGGGGGCAGGGCTGGCACAGCATGTGGAACCGGTATCAAACCCTGGTCGCTGAGTTTGCCAAAGCAGGCACTTTTAGTCATCTGAGCTATCTCGCCCGCCCAGTTGCAAGTTTTTAAAAGTTAAAAGGATGGCCAGAGAAATAAGCAGTCTAAGCAGCCTGCCTGGCAAGCTCAAGGACCTGGGTTCAATCCCCAGTTCCGCATACTATGCCAGCCCTTCGCTAATTTGGCCACTGAAACCAGACATGGTGGTACACTTCTGTAATCCCAACCCTGGGGAGGCTAAAATAGGAGGATCACTACAAGTCAGAGCTGTGTAGCAAGACCCTGTACCAAATACATACCTAAATAAAGATTTAAAAAAAAAAAAAAACTTAAGGGCTGGTGAGATGGCTCAGTGGTCTAAAGCACCTACTTAGTACAAGCTAAGCTAAGGAAAAACACAGGAACCACGGTTCAATCCCCAGCACCACATGCCAGCCAGCCCCGCCCCCTGGTGGGCTGAGCTGGCCACACACACACACACACACACACACACACACGCAATAAATAAATAAATAAATATTTAAAAAAAAACTTAAAAGGACAAACACTTAAATTTGATTAATGAAGAAAATTCAGTTAGTGTCAAACATAAGACTTTGATGAATCTAAGCACAGTTCTCATGAATGTTTCCTCCCAATTAATTAGAAATAATCATATCAAGAACTGCTGTGTACTGGGATCAACCATCAGTAGGGCATATGCTAAGTATATCAACATATTCATTTATTGAATTCTCACAACAACACCATGATAAATGATCATACCACTGCAAGGACACTCATCTAGCAACTGGCAAAGATGCAATCCTAAACCCATGGTACTATTATGTGACACTGCCTCTCCTCAGGTGTCACAAAGAACCACAGGGAATATAAGGTTATTATTTATTACTAAGATTATTTTTTATAGTGCATTGATAATTTGTTTCTGGACACAAATTATGTGTTGAATGACATCTTAACATAGTCAAGCAAGGAAAATATTAGTGCACTCAATGCTGAAAAGAGTAAATCTACCCAAGAAAGACCTTGAGCCTTGTCCTGTGAAACAAGTTTGCACTGTATTTTATTCCAAATTTTCATCAGAAATGGGCAGAAAATATGGGGTCTGTCAGCCTGAAGGCTCCTCTGTATGGTTCAGCATCAGATACATTGCTCAGGCTATTTCTCAGAGTTCCTCCTGATTACCTTGAACTAAGAGTCAGGAGAGCAGAGTTTACAATCTCTTACAATCTTTGAATTCATAAAATCATAACTTCTCATCTCCGGAGAAGTCTGAAGATCTATTTAGATGAAAGAATGTGTGCAATATGAGATCTGGGATGAACCCGTGGGTTCTTTTTCATTCACTTCCATCATTTGTCGTAGTCTAGTCCACAAGACTGCAAGCATTTGTCTGATCGGCTGCTATTTATCAGAAATAGAACAGATATTCCAAAAATACCTGTTGATTGAAATAAGTGAGGGCTTACCCAACCAATTAGTTGCAAAGGAGAGGACATGCCAATAACCCAGTCAATTTCTTAAGAATACTACAAGAACCAGTGATGACAAGGACATGTCTTACCTCTTTGTTCTCATAGCTTTCCACAGAAAAATCATTTTTAACCACAACGTATCTGTCTTTCCATTTCTTTATGTCTTCTGCAAACTGTGAGAGCTCTGCTTCGTACAGCACAGCTCCAGGCTCCAGTGGTGGCTTAAAGAAGACAACATAATTATCATATGCACTGTTACCACCAAGTAGTTCATTGTTTCAAAGAATGTTTAAGAGATCTTGCTTCCCCTTTTCCTCCATAATTTCCCCTTGCAACTCTTTGGCCGCACGCAAATATTTGTCACAATGGCATTTTTATTGTTTTCCTTTTCCTCTACTATACACTAAGTACAGAAGTATAGAGTAGAAAGATTATAGAGACAAGGTTTGTGCTTTGTTTGCATGTGGCACTTAATAAATGCTTGGTAAACTGTGTACAATAGTGACTTGGTACGGTATAATCTGTGCACATCTATCCCACTCCCTGACATACCTCAGAACTCCTGAGAAGTAGATCACTAACAGGCTGTTCCCTTCTTTAGTATACCACTGAGCATACTTCAAGAGGCAAAGTTCAAAAGGCTTTCCTAAAAGTCACGGGGATTTAGGTGATTAACACTTCATTCATCCACATTGTACCTCAAGGAAACCACATGTGGTCAAGATGAAGGGGGCATTAAGCCAGTAAATCTCAGCTCTACCTCCTTAAGTAAAAGGCTAAGCATCTCTCATTAACTTTGCTATATGTGCTGTAGGAAATTTTCCATTAGGTTTCTAATTAGGTCTTTCACAGGGCTTACTGCACGGTGATAATTTGCATTCCACTTTATTGTGCAATTCCCATATTATTTCAAAACGAAGGAATGGGTCTCTTGGTCATGTCACTGCATTTACATATATTTTCCCCAAATTAGAAAACCATAGTGCTTTCAGAAACTTATCTCTCTGCACTGAAGCCAAAAGCTTACATGAACCATATAGAGAAGACAGATCTATTTCCTTTAAGAATTGTCTAAGGGATTAAATAAATTTCCTTCCTACTTTCAGTGCTTAAAGTCTGTCCTGACAGATAATGAGGCAATTTCCTATCTGACCTCATTAAAAGAGAAGAAAGGACCTCACTTCTCTCTAAATGAGGCTGAAACTATGGCATAAGCTGAACTTTATAGTTCTTAAGTGCAACTTCTCTAAAACTTGGACCACTTAATCAGCGGGTAAGCTCGTTAAATATGTGGCTCCAACCTAGACTTACTCTATCAGAATCTCTGGGGGAATATATTAGAATTTGCATTTTTAACAAGCTCTCTAAAATCTGAGATCTACTTTTTAATAGGGGTAATAGTTATTCCTATACCTTCATGCTACTAAATCTATTACTTATCCTCTGAGAAATAAGCTCACTATTCACTCATTTCTTTTTGAAGACCCTTTTTTATTTACCTTCTGATACACTGCACTTTGCTGATTTTGCTCCTATCCTGAAGGCTATTCCTTAGTGGATGTGGCTGGATCCTTTTCCTCTTCCTGGCCTCCAAAGGTTGGAGGGGCCAGAACTATTTCTTTCCTCTTGCAACACTCCTCCAGGAACGCCATATGCCTTTCTTAATGGTTACAAGCTAACCCTCCTCAACAGTTATTCTCCAGCCTCGATCCCTCTACTGAACTCCAGATCAGAATATCTGTTAAGGTTTATCAAAAATACCTCCCCAACTGATGAATGAAGGCAGGAGACAGGAAAAGGAGTGTTGCGGGACTGTCCTCCCGCAAACAATGTTGTATATGGTTAGATTTCTGGACTTACACGTAAACATAAGAAGTATATAATTCTTTATGCCTATTTTAAAAAATATATTCTAATTTTATATGTTTTTTCATCATATTCTATAGGGACTTAAAGTTCAACATATCAATACTTGATGAAAAATACCTGTTCCATATTATGCCTAAAATGTTTGATATTCAGACAGATAGTGAGGTTAAGCTCAACTGCCTAGGTTATATGGTAATAACAATAAGCTTCTCTTGTGGAGGGTTAACAACCTAAGTTTGCAGACCAAAATTAGAGAAAAAGGAGGGCTACAAGGAAAACCAACATTTTGGCCCTAGCCTTCCAAGGTCAATTAAGACTGAGGACACATGAGAACTTGTACTGTAACATCATGTAACTCAGTTGTGTCTCAAATTTTCTGATCAAAGAGATTATGGGGTCAAAAAGGAAAATGATCGATGATGTAGAGTGTGCCTAAGGAGAGTCACATGGAGAGAAAACATTCTCTCAGGCTGTCACACAGAGCAAATTGGCCAAGCAACGGCTGTGACTCATCCACATGGCTGACAATGACAAAGGATCTATAATCTGAGGTACAGGGTCTCAGGATAAATCCTGAGAACATTTGACTAACCTTTTCAGATGCAAAAGCTACAATTCTTATTGCATAGGTCTTGCTTTGTCTTGTTCTTGACCATCCAGTAGCAAAGTGTAAGAGCGAAGTATAAGAAGTGAAGCCATGTTGTTATGTTGAGCTGTGGGGGACTCGGGTCAACAACTTCTGACATTGCCAGTCAAGCGGAGGACCCAATACTATTGTGGACTGCTGTACTATTTGAGTATTTTGCTGAGTTCACACACTTATAATATTTGAATAACAGAACTAAACAAAAAAAGGGGATACAGATGAATGAGCATTTTGTATCTGTGTATTCTAGGTGGTTAGGATAGATATATAGTTACATTCTCTTAATTCAGTGAATGCAGGGATTTGTTCTAATAGTGTTTGCAAATAGGATGTCATGTCTGCATCTTGTACAGCAAATGACCACTGGGAGGACAGTATGCAATGTGTTAATTATTGGAACTGTCCTACCAATTTGATTTGAAACTGTCTCATTGCTATTTGTTTCTCAATAAAATTATAGAAAAAAAGAAAAAAACAAACAAAAAAATACCTCCCCAAGCTTCACGTGTTCAGAGGCAGAGTTATGTGCTCATAGGAGTGTTATTTTTGTCAGGAGGTTAATAATCCATTTCAGAGTTCTTAGCTGAATGTGTTGTTAGGAAGTGGGGCCTGGGTAGAGGAAGTAGGTTTCTAAGGGGAGAACCTGAAAGGGTATATTTTTTTCCAGGAGCCCCAATCTCTCTCTCTTGGCTCCTCACTCTCGCTGCTTCCTGGCTGTGAGCAGGTTGTGAGTAGCTTTTCTTTGCAATGACACTTGTCTTGCAGCCCATTAATCAAGCACTGAAACCTCTAAAACCAGAAGCCTAAGTAAATCTTTTCTCCTTTAATTTGTATGTGTCAGATATTTTGTCCCAGCAAGGCAACACTGACAAAATGACATTCAACTATCCGTTCAGGATTTCCACAGGTGTATGTTGAATAAGTACTGCAAACTTTCACATGGCAATGCTAAACTCATGATCCTTATTTATCTGATTCTACGTCCTGACTAAAAGGCCATTCCATCCACATATTTACTCAGGTTAAGGATTAAGAAACCATCACTGATTTCTTTCCTCTTATGTCACAGCAAATTCTGTAGCTCTAGAATAAGTATTTCCTCTCCCAACTACTATCCCTACTACCACCCTAATCCAATTCACCACCACCCTTCTCTAAACTGGTGCAATATCCCATTTGCCAGTTTCCAAGCACCTTGCTCAAAGTCTCTTTTCTACAGAGAAGCCAGAAAAAAATCACTAAAATTATATGTCACTCTATATTCAGCACTCTCAGCAACACTTCTTATCACACAAAATCAAAACCCCCTGGCCTTCAGATCTACAGGATCAGCTCTCTGCCTGCCTTGCTCTTGTTCAAGGTGCTCAAGGTAGATGGGCCTTCTCCCCCTGAGCTGGAGGGCCTTTGCACTGGCCATCCCATCTGCATAGAATACTCTTCCCACAAATGCTACCCAGCCTACTCTTGTTTCATGCCAGTCATTTCAGACACTGTCTCCACAGAGGGCTTCCTTCCTTCCATCCCCACCCAGCTTCTTCCAATAAGACTCTCACTTTACTTTTGTTTCTAGCATTCACCATTAATGGACATCAGCTGAGATCCATTTGGTTTTTGTTAAAGATCTACCAACTATGTTTAACTATGGATTCCAAGATGGTGGATAATTTGTCTTATTCCTCAGGTCTTGGAATATAGCCTTGACACCTAATAGGTGCTAAATATTTGTTAAAGCTAATTATTCTAACAGCAAAGAAACAAAAAGAGATTCAAAGAGAACAACATGGGGGCTTGCAGGTTGACTCAGTTGTTTAAGTGGCTGCTTGGGCAAGCCCAGTCAGGCAAGGGGGACCACAGTTCAACCCCCAGCTAGCTCCACATGCCTTACCAGACCCACCCTGAAGGCACCTGAGCCAGCCAAAAAAAAAAAAAAAAAGATGTTCTCAAAGAGAAAATCATATTGATCAATGACCAAAATAAAAATGCCCATAGCAGCTGGGCACAGTGACATGGGCCTATAATCCTATATTCTCAGCTACTCAGGAGGAGGAGGAGGAGGAGGTGAGAGAAGCAACAAGCCCAGGAGACCAGCCCAGACAACCAGAGCAAGAGCCCATCTCTAAAAACTACAACGAAAAAAAAAGGGTACACAACACAAGGCACAGAAATTGACTTTTTTGAGCTGGGGAGATAGCTCGGTGATCTAAGTGCCTGCTTGGCAAGAGCAAGGACCCGGTTTCAATCCTGATACCACATGCTGCTGTGACACACACCTGTAATCCCAGCACTGGGGAGGCTGAGACAAGGATCACTATGAGTCTGAGCTGGTAGTGAGACCCTGTATCAAATAAGTAAGTTGGCTTTTTTTAAAAAGCTGAACTTCACTGCAATATACATTTCCTGATATCAAAGAATCCATGAGGAAAGAAAAAAAAAATGGAATAACACCAGTTTTCTTTTTATATGGATTGCCCTATTCATAAGATATCACATACATTCTAACTTCTAGGCAAATAGAAATTTTTGAACATGAAATGATATCAGAGCAGATTTTTTTAACTGTCACTCAAATAATTGTTTATTTCTGAAATATTATGAGCTATACATCTTCCTTTCACAGGACAAATACATGGACCAAATGTCTATTGTTACCTTGGTCTTCAAAAATTGTGATGCAAGATCTCGTTGTTGTTCAACTTCGCTGCGCACATGGTTACAGAAAGCCACTGAGTACTGACGACTGTAGTAGGGACTGAAGTTTTTAATAGCAGCCTCAGTTTTCCCTGAAAAATATAAAAATTAGAATTGTGAAATATAGTATATATTATCTGCATGATTCTATATACATCTCTCCCATCTCCATAACTCCACTGTCCTCCAGAGATGCTACCTGCCTGAGTTTCCTGAGATCACGTGACCTATTGTATATGATTGGGCTTTTCCCTTCCCTTCTGGCATCATCCAGTAGCCAAAAGCATTTTTCTTCATTATACAATGTACAGATTGCCATGGACATAAATTCAACCACTCTTCTAAACCTTCTAAGATTAATCTACCTCACCCTTAGCCCCTCCCACCCAATAATAATCTCAGGGTCTACCCTTTTAAATTCCACATACACATGTCTTCTGGTCTTTTCAGATCCCTGAGGCTCTCTCTACCCCTAGTATTTGACCAACAGTCCAGGGAAACACTAAGTTTCCTCTTGTTGTGTTTTTGTTCTTCTGCTTTAAAAGACTTCTGTGATTGAAAACATTAAATACTTTCAAGGGAAACAGCGGTAAACAACATGGAGTCCTGAACTGAAATCCCACTTCTATTTGCAACAGAAACCAGCCATCTGACCTCAGCTGAGTCACTCAGCTCTCCTGCCTCCAGTATCCCTGACTTGATGAGAGGTGTTCGCTGCTCCCCACTTGCCATTGAATCTATGTGATGTGAAGGACAATGGTGAAGGTACAACTGCTCCACAGTAGTGACTGGCAACTATACCATAGCCTCTCACTTTAGATGCAAATTAAGCAGAGTATCTGCCATGTGGGGGAAGTATGAGTTCTGCAGCTGCAGGAGGAAAGAGAGTTGGACCCTGGAAACAGTCTTTCCCAACCCCTGCTTAGGTCAGGGTAGGATGTGAGACGAACAAATGGGAGAAAAGGGGCAAAAGAACACCTTCTAAAACTGATTAGAAATCTTCCCAACATTTGAAGTACTTGATACAGAATATAGAAATAAATGTAAGTTTCACTTGTCTATGATGACAAGCAATTGAGCTCATGAAATAAGATATTAGCTTGAGGAAAAATAAACCTGACATAACATTCCAAAATATTTTTCAATACTTCATGTGAATTTGGCACACTTCTTGTTTTTCAAATTTGGCATTATAGTCAACAGAAAATATTAAAGTATAACAAGATTTTTTTTTGACCTATAATGAAGGCAAACATTTCAAAAAGTGAAGAATTGTAACCGTGTATATTGAGATAATTCAGTAAAGAGAATCTTAAATCCATAATTTTCCATTTATACTTACAAAATCAAATTTAAAAATACCTAAAGCAGGGGCCAGGGAAATAGCTAAGTAGAATAAGCACTTGCCTGGCAAGCACAAGGGCCTGAGTTCAATTCCCAGTTCCACAAAAATAAATAAATAAATAATAATAATAAAAATTACCTAATGCATACGATGAATGCTTCCTATGGATAGAGAATCCTACTTTTTATGGAATAGGGGAAAATTCTTTTATATTTCTCTAATAAAATGACATTGCTATCATATTTATGGGCTTTGATAATTACTGCTTGTAAGATCCTTGGAGACCCACTAATACTAGACTCTGTAAATGTGTAAATAAAAGCCTTTAAAATTGAATCAGGCATGCTTTTCCATGTTCTGTGAGTTTATGGTATTATAATTAATCAGCATTTGCATAATGTTTTAATATACTCAGGCTTTATGCCCATCTGATTAGTTATTAGTTTATTAGCTTTTATTGTATAAGTAGTAAAATTCTATATCCTTGTCTGTAATTTTCTTATAAAAGAGTGAAGTATCTTTGAGAATTCCCATAATGAAAATAAGCCTCACTTTACTAAAGCATATAAATGATTAATAACAAAATATGCCCTCTACTCCAAGTAATCACTGATTGGACTGTGAGTAGAGCAGCAGGTTAATTGCTGATGCTAGTCTTTGCACTCTTGCAAGCACTTGGAATCAAATGAAAGAAGGTGGTTGTCATTTTATGATGAACTATGCAAAGCCTTGAAAGCTATGTGCCGCACACCACACCTCCTCCAGGACACCCTGCTTCTACAGAGGCGCTGTGATGCCCCATTACTTTCCAATGTATGAGAGAACGGCTTCTCTGGTTTGCATATCTGTAGAGTGCCTTCAATACATCATTCCTGAGGTAGCACTTATAAAGAAAGGATCACAGCGTTCTTAGGTACTGTAATTAACCTGGGGAGTTCTAGGTATAAAACAGTTCAAAGCTATTCTCCATTGTATTTAGATTGTATATGAAATGTATCCAAACCCAGAAAAAGGACTCTAGATTCAGATAAACATGGTTTCAGTCCTCTCTCTCTCTCTCTTTTTTTTTTTTTTTTTTTTTTGGTGGAACCAGGGATTGAACTCAGGCCCTTGCACTGGCCAGTGAAGTGCTTTTTCCACTGAGCCACCTCCCTGGCTCCTTCAGTCCTCTCTCTACTATTTGACCAACTGTGGAATTTCATTACAGTTAGTTTTTCTTCCTTCTGACATATGAAGTAAAGGCAGCAAAAGCAACATCATAGGGATAGTGCGTCAATTACATAAAGCGTAAAGTACCCAGCACGATAGCTGGAACAAAAAAGTGTTCAAAATTAATAGTAATTAAAATCATGATCATAGTGGTAATGACGGAATATCCCCCCACACACACTACCACTAGGCTCTAACAGACCGCCCTCAAGCTGAGCAAAGGAATCAAGCACTCAAAAAGCAAGTGGTCCACCATCACTCTTAAACTGGAGACCGCCTTATCTGCTGCATAGTGAACAGCCACCTACTCTGGCAGCTCAAAACAAACACAACCTCCATCTACACAGATGTTTCAGCACAAGAGGCACTCACTGCATCCCTCAATTAAGATTAACTAAATAAAACCTAAACATTAATGAGTTTGTTTGAGCTGAGGGCAAAAACTCGTGAGTTAATAGCTACAGTACATGGACCCTCTCGGAGCATCAAGCTTCCCACCTGCAACACGGGGAATATACCCATAACAGAGGGTTTTGTAAGGAGTAAATGACATCTTTATTTCACATGTAAAGAGGCGTCTAGTACAGTGTCTGACCCCATATTAGTTGACCAATAAATTTTGACCATCATTTAATATTCTACAGTAAAATATTCAAATCAGGAGATCAGCTCACAGGTGCCATATAAAATAAAATCAGCAAAAACAAGTTTGTTTTCCACAGTTTTCAAGATTTATGGATATTGAATTTCCTTCATTCCTCTGCCCTCAAATTTAGAATGACATCCACTTTTTGAAATTGCTTGTAAAACACAGTGCCTGATCTTCCCGGAGAAGGAGGTTACTGGATAACAGAAAGACAAGGACAAATGGAAGGGCTTCTTCTGCAATCTGGTATATGAAACTTTTGACACAGGCATATTTCTTCAGATCTACTCCACTATTACAATGTATGTTGGACAGCGTGTTGGCATAATTCATGTGACCAAGCTGCCTGTGCCCCCTCAGAGTAACCCTCACAAAACTCAAAGAACTCCCTTCAACATCTCTATCTATAAAATTTAACTGTACTTCATTTTTTAAAAATAAGAAAAGTACCTGCCCAGTCCTAATACATACATGCTCAAAACACAGCACTTTTAAGTCTTCACCACACCTATGTTTAATCATCAAATCCTGTCTTTTTTTTTTTTTCTTTTTCTTTTTTGGCAGTACCTGATTTAACTCAGTACCTTGAGCTTGCCAGGCAAGCACTGATCCTGTCATTTCTGTCTATAATATTTCTTTTTCTCCTCCTCCTCTTCCTCCTCCTCCCCCCCTCCTCTTCTTCTTCCTCCTCCCCCCTTCTTCCTCCTCCTCTCCTCCTCTTCCTCCTCCTCCTCCTCCTTTTTTTTCTTCTTATTTTTAGTGCAGGGTCTCCCTACAAAGAGGGTCTCACTACAAATATCGGACTTGTAGTGATTCTCCTGTTTTCAGCCTCCCAAGCACTGGGATTACAGGTACACACCACCACACCCAGTCTAAACTGCCACCACAGCAGGCCAGGGATTGAACTCCCAGCCTCTGCATGTGCCTTAGCAGGAGCCTTAATCTGCTAAGTAATCTGGCCAGCCCTTCTGTCTATAATATTTCTTCTATCTATTTCAACCACCATACCTTCTATCAAGCTTTTACTATTGATCAAAAATTATAAAAATCTTGGGCCAGCAAGATAGATCAACAGACTCAGTACCTGCTTAGGCAAGCACAGAGACCAGGGTTTGATCCCTGGTACCACATGCAGCACCAGCCCTATCCCCAGGTGTGCAAAGTGGCCAACGAGTCCAGGCATGGTGGCAACAAGTCAGGCATGCCTATAATCCCACCGCTACAGAGGCTAAAAACAGAAGAATCACCACAAGTCCAAGTTGCATAATGAGGCCCTATAGCAAATACATTTTTTTTAAAGTACAAATCTCTTAATCTGTCCTACATCAGCATTATGGCATGGAGTAAATTTTTAACTAGATCTCAGCTTTAAAACAGAAACAAAATAGTCAAAAGCAGAGTGAAAGATGGAGTGCAAGGGGGCTGATACACAAAACCCAGATGATCATGGAGAAGAAGCCACATGGTACAAAGGGAGATTCTAGAAGGGGTCAGAGTCTGGGGCTGATGGGACAAAACGGGAAAGGTGAAGACCAAGTTGGCCACCTTGGTCCCAAGCAAGACGACAGGCACAAACTACCAAGGCCCAGGTATTAAAGTGGGGAACCATCCTTCAGAACCAAGTCATGACACGGGCATTGCTTGGGAACTCCTGACAGTCGTAAGGGGGCAAAAGTCTCACCGGCCACAGAGGTACAGGCCTACGGATTAAGGTTTCCCAGGTTTCATTTGACCCACTGCTGCCAG